AACATTTTTTTATATCAACAATGATCAATATTTTGTTTTTTCAGTGATAAATAATCTCCCATACAGATTCACGCGCTTGAGTCAATAAAATAATAATGTTTTAATATACTACTAAAGCCAAAACATTAAACGTTTGTTAAACCACACAATATCCAACAAAAATTGACATCATGATTATCACAACATACTTTGACTGCTGCTTTTCAAGCTAACATTGACTCAAAATTGACTCAATATTGTCAGGGCTCCAGATAATGTTTTAAGCCATTGAGTATATACTCAGATGCATCATTCACATTTGGTATTTGGTTTCAACATATTTATTTTCACAAAAGTGTGACAATGGATTGGTAAACAAGCGAAGCACTTATGTTAATACCACTCCATTACACATAGGACATATTACAATGAATACATCAATGAAGGTTAGATGTAACAAATAAATTGTACATTCCAAGCTTGATGTGTACATATAATACATCTAATGAATCTATTTGCAGTTTATTTTAAACAATCATTTAACTGAAAATCTGCCAGTTTTTAATATAAAGTGTTGAATAGAATCTAATATTAGCATTTGCTTTTCCTTACTTGGTATTTGATAGTTGTATTTTATATGTTTTACTCTTTTGAATAGTGAATGAGTAGAAATGCATTAAAAAATTTATTCTGCTTAAAATACTGTTTCAGGTAACTTCTAGGGAATGTATAGTGACTTTGTACTCAAACTAATTGGTGCCCAAAATGTCTAGTGAAATCAGAATGTGATTTTGTACCCATCAAATATTTCCTAAACTCCTAGTATTCTTCTATTCATGTGCAGCCCCAATGCCCCATACACTCACAACACTGATGCTTGTGTCGGTTACAGCGAGTGAGGTTTAACGCAGCTTTTATCAATATTCCAGCACTATAATGGCGGGGGACACCAGAAAATGGGCTTCACACATTGTACCGATGTCAAGAACCAAAACCCGGGTCTTTGGCGTGACGAGCCAACGCTTTAACCACAAGGCGACACGACCGCTCCTGTCTCGATTGGTTACAATAGAACATTAGTGCATTATTGACTGCAGTAGTGTTGATGTTCTAGGTGATGCATGACGCCTGCATTCATTCAGTAAACAAAGATGTGTATGTTTTAGTGGAAGACGGTAGGCCTTAGACATTCAGACACACACGTTGAAATTGCTATATTTGGGTAATTACATAATGTGTTGTTATAAAATTGGGTTTTTTTTCAAATTGTTCACGCGTATTTGTGGTAAATCAGTTTGTTTGTGGTGATTAAATTTGCGTATTTTACGCCAATACGCAGCTTATTCGCAGCTCTGTATTTCCATCTTGAACAGACGCGTACATCAACAACACATCAAAACCAGTAGCATCTTGATATAACGTTCGATGCGTAATGGCATTCAAAGGTACTGTCACTGCAATCACAATACGTACAGCATGTAAACTTTCTGAAAGTTTTTTACGCCTTACTTTCCGTGTCACTTTGACTGTCAATGTCAGGTCGAGCTGCCTCTTACCATGGCAGACAGAGCTTTTCATGTAAATACGTACAGCAAAAACGCTTACCTGTCATGACGACATGTAGCTCGTGTAAACAGCTGGTAAACTGTGCATCAAGGCCAAACAGGATCTCCCTTTAATCATGCCTGTCAGGTCAGTATGCCCGAACGTAAACAACAATAAACAACAATGACCAGCTGACACAGGTACCCGGAAGTAAAGGTGCTCACTGCTCCACACAGCGTTGTAAGATCATCGACTACCGTGAAAATTGTGGTAAACGCTGTCCAGAGCTTTAGAATTTTACCATTATCTTTGTAGATTTTTAATGCTGACAGATTTGCTTTTAATATATATGTTTGAGCTTATCTATGTATTCATAGCTGTGCTGTCATGTGATATTTGATCACAATTTACAGAATCAAAAGGAACAATTCACCAGACATGCGACTGGTGTTTCGACTTATTATTATATTAAATGACTGACAGAAGCCTCTCACGGAGATGGGTTTTTTTATTTTAAAAGAAAGACATTTAACATCTCTTAATTTTTTTTCTCAACAAACGGGGCAACAATAATTGATTTACCCAACACATTTGTACATACATACATACAACGGGATGTTTTATGTTGGTGTCATTCTCAACAATAGCAATTATAGTTGCCTCCAAATATAAATAAATGCATCCCGCCTTGGTGAACATTACCCACAATATCTCAACTTCTTTAGTCTTCTAAACTGTTAAGAAATAACCCTGAAACGTAGTTGTGTTTATATAGTTTGTGCAATATTACAACGCATATACAGATGACTTATTTTTTAAAGTTTTCCCCATTTCACCAAGCGAATAAGTAAATCATATGTGTATTTACTCACGTGCGGTCACACATAAGTGAATGTAGTTTTACTCCTATAAGTTGCCAATATTACATTCAGCTATACACCACGACGACCTGCAATAAATCTAGTCAAGGTCAGTAAAAAATGGTTGACAGCATCTTCACCGTCGACTGAGACGTTGTTTGTCAGTTCATGCATTTGATACACACAACCGATTCCGCCATTATTCTGTTTCAGCAAGAATCGGGGTTTTGGGGGAGGTGAGGGTTGTATTCATAGGATTGACGAGAAATCATAACACAGTAATACGATTAAAGACAACACTGCTTTCTACAGATGTTAACCTCGATCATCCAGCGTATCATACCTCCATTCCATTATATAATAATTAATATCATGCATTGAGATATTTTAATACGCTGGATAATCGAGGATGACAGATGCTTTCAGATGGTTAATGTGACTAACATCTTAGATGTGTGTAACTGTCTCGTTGTCTCGGAATTGTGTAATTCTGACATTAGTTCATCCTTGTAGACATTGCTATAGCAGACGAATTGGTTTCAAATCATTTTAATCAAACTTGCAAAAGTGCGAACTGCAAATCTAGTCACCATTGCGTTCAGACAACATTGAAGGGCACTATATATATTCAGTTGAGAAACCACCAGACCGCATATTCCCTTAGGATATAAACGTAATGTGTTTACATATTTGCGAATGTTATATTGTATTTGATGCTTTTTCATATTTGAGACGTGATAACAAATGCATACGCAGTTCAGGGATTTCCAGGCGTCCATAACCTTTCAACAAGACTGCCAATAAGCTCGAGCCAAGTCCTCCTTCAAATGAACACCATGTACACAAGGCAGACCCCGGGGCAAGGGGTGGGGAAGCAGGGATGGGACCCAGATCAGATAAATGTAATAATGTGCGAATAGTATTGAGAGAGGTACACACCTTGTGACATAACAAGTTAATTAATCGATCCATCATATGTCCATCTTTACTCACGCTGGGGTGACAGTACTGGGATGACCTTGTGTAACGGCGGGTGGGATGGTCTGATTTATTTCCCAATTGAACACATTCACATAATAATCCTTTTTCTGTACACGGAAAGATGAATTTGTTTACGGGATGTTCGATCTTCTATCAAGTGAGTGATGTGGTTTAGTGATTAACGGCGTTTTGAAATGCTGGTTTGTTTCAGCAAATACGTTCCTTCGCCTTTCAACGTTTCAGTTTTTATATAACGGCGTGTCAGACTGACGTGGGAAGAAAGCCCATAGTGACGCAGGTATTGTGATACGTTAACCACTTCAGTGAAACCCACGAGCACGGCCATGGTGCCGACACACCTTGAAACATAGCGAGGGCGAATCTGGGATTCGAACCAACGATCATGGGTCTCTGGTACGTTATTTGGGACGCACCTCTGCAAGCGTAGCGAATTGCAGCGCCTTAGACAACAGGTCAATTTAATGATAAGATCTGAAACCATGTTGATCTTTATGTACAGTGTGAGTTTCACACAGTACGGGGACCTATACCGCTTTTATCGCTTGTGTGCACCCTCGACTGAGGTGAGGTGAAATGGCGTCTGTGTGTGTTAGTGTTAGAGTGTATTATTGTTAGTGTTAGTGTGTGTTAGTGTGTGCTAGTGTGTGCGTGTGGCTGCTTATACTAGCCCGGACTGATGCCGATTTAGAGTGCTAGCCCACTGAGATACCATGCCACAGTTTAACATGAATACCCAACTCAGACACAGTGTAGTGACGCCGAGCCGACCAGTCTTTGTTTTAGCGTCTAAAAGACGAGCGCCAGACAGGGTAATAACAAGTACTATCTTTGACGTCTTTTGGCCTGACGCGGCCGGGGATCGAACCCCGGACCTTACGTACTCCGGGCGGACTCTCTGACACTAGACCACGGAGGCGGTCGCACCCTTACTAAAAACACAATATTTGCGGGGCAGGGTAGTACATTTCGTATGTTACCATAGCATATGAAGTGTCTGTGTTGAACCGAGTCAGTGAGTGGGTCAATATGTCATAATTTATATAATGAGCAGTGTCTTATATGGTATCACTGTGACGAAACCCACGAGAACGGACGGTGCAAACAAACCAATCCAGGATTCGAACCAGATATCATCGAGTCCTGGCATGCTTAGGATTTGCAGCTCTGCACAACGAATTTCTGTATCCAAGCAAGTTTATTAACTGTTCCAGGGAAACCATCTAAGACTGGCATAGAAATATAATGAAAGACTGGCATAGAAATATATTGACGAAAATACATAATCATTCATACCTGTTTATGATATTAGGGCATTGAGATATAGTTCTCAATACCCCAGCCACAACCAACGACGTACTCGTATCTGGATTAGACAAAACCAATGACCAACAGTGTGATGACCTATGGCTGCACACTCACTAGTTCGGGTGTAAGCTATCGGCGGGCCATGAGGTGAACTCACGACCTTAACCCACAAACATAAACGTTATTGATCATAACTACACACAAAAAGAATTCACAAATGAAGACAAGGAAATGAATAAACGAATAAATATTTTCATGAATAACCAACCGACGTCTGCAACTTACATACTTACATTAGTTGTTGCTAGGAAAGTACGATGCAGCATTTTCGCGATTCTGGTACCGCGGCAAGTATAAACATGCACAGGAACCGGCAATGAAAACGCGTGTGTATGGCTTATCATTAATTTTTTATAAAAATAATATAGACATTTAGCAAATAAGTTTTATTTAAAGATGACTATACACATATTGTCACTTTTATAAGATGATTGCCGCGACCAACTTCAATCGTTTTTGGCAGAATGATAAGCATGAGAGTTGTTATTGTCCTAATTTCGATCAGCTTAGTGTCGTGATGGTGAACTGTCATTCATCATGTGTCCCCGTGCTAGTAGTAAACGGACACTTATTTCTGGATAACTTCCAAGTATTTAATCTCTTCTTTGTTTGATCTTATCCTTGATTGACTAGCAAATGTGTTCTTTGGTTTTCACCATTGCAATTGTTTAGAAGATATAGATTCCATGTCCCAGCTCTGAATTAAGAGATATGTCAACAGCGAAATTGAGAATAAAAGTCAAAATGTCCTTGTCATAATTCCAATGTAAAGAGGGAAACATTTGGGCACCAGACCTGATTAAAATACCAGAGTAGAAGCCCAGAAGGACCCGGCACCAATTGAACACTGTGTCAAGGAGATCATGTCCTTGTTATAAACAAAAACTGTCGATCAGCAGATAGCTGAATGATGTTTGAAAAGAAATGAACCTGAGTTTTAAAAAAGATATGTGTTGGTTAGTCAAAAACATGATGCACACCATGGATGTACGTCAAGATCCTTGGCTTATGTCCCTTTGACCTCATAAAAATCCAGTAATCTGGACTTGAAAGGATACAGATATGGTACAAATGAATTACATTTAAGTGCTCTACTTGAATTACAGTGTCATGTACAGCCAGTTTATCATCTGTGCCTGTGATCTCGGCGAACCATATATCTATGGAAATCATATAACTGTATTGGCCAACTAAAATGTTGGTAGTGTGCGGTCAGGCTCTGTGACTTGGTTCATTGCACATGTCATCCCGCCCTAATGGCAGGAATCAATGCTCATACTTTCAGTCACTGGCTTACCTGGTCCAGGCTCATTTATTTACATGGCTGCATGTTTATGCAGCTGGAATATTGGTGACTGCAGTGTTATGAAAGTCACTTATCAACTGTTGAATATAGCATCTTGAAAATATGCAACATCAAAGATTTATGTAATATGTAGCAGGACGTGGAGTCATCCCACAGATGACATCCTTACCTTGTCAGCTTGCTGATGGGGGTTAACCTCTTTGGTCATGTGATCAAGGCGTCCGACCTTGGATCAGAAGGTCCGTGGTTCGAATCCCATCACGGGACTCGGAAATTTTATGGCCGCTACAAGTGTAAAGCATCATTTATAATAGGTTTAAGTTGGTGAAAATCACCTTCACTTTTTTTGCATTTGAGAACATTATCTACTTTGTGTTGCAGGTGTGAAACTTTTAACACAATAATTGTAAATATTCATGATGCCATATGTAACTTAAGTTAAATGTACAGCATCATATATAATAATTTTGGCTGTTAACTTTTACTTTTGTTGCATTTAAGAGCATTATTTACTTTATGTTTCAGGTGTGAAATTTTCAACACAATAATTGCAACTGATCACATATGTGTTTCCAATTATCAGTGAAATGTGATAGGTATCCTATCTATACATAGTGTGATCAACTGTCAGTTAAAATTCTGATTTGCTAAACACAAACACAAGAAGTTTACTTGGGAGACCTGACAAGACATCCAAGCATGGCATCGGGGAGACTGGACTTGGATTCCAATGAGCTCAGTTTGATTGACTCTGGGATACAGGACATCCAAGATGTGCCCCTTCGTCCACATCTTGTGGTGCTAAACTTACACAGCAACTACATACAACAGATCCACAATCTCTCCCGATTACAGCAGCTGAGACATCTAGACTTGTCGTCCAATCAGATCACCAGGATAGAGGGTTTAGAAGGTCTTGTTTCTCTCAGGACTCTCAACCTCTCCTGCAACCTTATCGCAGAAGTCCATGGATTATCTCCCCTTAGGTAGGACACTATTTTATGCAATCTTATTTACCATTGCACAAACATAAACAGAGATTAATTACATATGCCTTTTTCACCAAGTATTCGAAAATTGTGGCCCAATTATTCGCTTTGTTTTTAGGTATTTGGTGAAGTATGATGGATTGTATTTGCATGTTGCGTGACGGAAATAAAGATAAAAAGTAATTTGTAACATTAATGACGTGAACTCTTATATGAAATCTTTTACTCGTCTAAGGAAACTCTGTTTTGAACTGGAATCTATACTTTCACATGAAGATTCGAATATTTTGGAAAATAACGAGTCCAGGTCGTTGGAGGGTCAATTACCCACCAAGATTTATTGAATGGTAAAAAATGATAAAAATACTGGTACGATTGGTTTCAATGCAGAATGTTTCTAAGTGTTTTGAACAGATGTGGGACATTTTGTTTTGATAAGCTAAAAAATAAAAACTGCTTCACTTATGTTTATTTTTATATTTACGTATACATGGCAAAAACAGCAAAATGATTAATGAGTAATAGACTTTATTATTTCTGGTACAATATATAGTTTCAGACTGAATTTCTTTGATGATTGCATTCTTATTCTTTGGGGGCGGTCAGGTAGCCTAGTGGTTAAAGCGTCACATTGAAGGCCTGGGGTTGATTCCCTACATGGGTACAATGTGTGAAGCCCATTTCTGGTGTCCCCCGTCATGATGTTGTTGAAATATTGCTAAATGTGGCGTAAAATCCAACTTACTCACTCATGTTCTTTTGAGTTATTTTGGGGGTCTTTTTAGATAGATCACAAGAGAAAATTTATGTTTAGATGGTTGCTATTTCCAGCTTGTTTTATGAGACAATCACACGTGATAATCTTAATCTCAGGCAGCTGACTTGACAAACATAGAATATATTTTGCAGAAGGAATTTGTTCAGGAATATGTGCTATCAATTTTTCTTTGTGATATCGTGATTATGTGATCGAAAATAATCAAATTTGGTAGTATCATGGATCAGAGCGTATTGACGACATATTCAGGTGAGGTATAGTGACGTGGCACTATTTTGTAAATATGTAAGTGTGAGAGTGTATGAGTTTATGCTGCTTTGTGAAATATTCCAGAAATATCACAGTGGAGGCACCAGAAAGGGCTTCATTATTGTTCCCTTGTTGGGAATTGAACCCAATCTCATTAAAATCAGATCTTAGTTCTCGCTTCCGCTAAACAAAGATCTGAGGACATCCAATTACGGGTCACGTCAGACCGACCTTGCGCGAACTTTGACCGACCAATGGAATGACCAATCAGAAGGCAGCTGTCTCGTGCTTTACGGCACTAATTTCAAATTGGCGACTATGCTTTGAAACATATTATGACAAATTCTCAATTACAAATGTGAAACCTGAACAAAAGAACATTCTGGAATGGCTAATAGATGGTCTAGATTGTATGGATACAGTTGTTAAACCCGTAACTATCGTTTGGAGTTAAAGTTTACGAGGCTGCATGATCAGAAATCACATTCGGACTCTCACTTTCATAATCTGGTAAGCGATGCTCTGATTGGTCGGATGAAAGGTCGTTCTGACGTGATGTCGTCTGATGTCCTCAGATGTTTGTTTAGCGGTAGCGAGAACTGAGGTCTGATTTGAATGAGATTGGAATCCAACCTGGGTCTTCAACGTGACCACTAAGCTACTCCATTGCACCTAAATATTTAAGATAATGATATTCTTTGCTTTTCGGTGCAGGTCTCTTGTCAAAATAAACTTGAGCTACAACCAGATAGGGAGTGTAGAAGGTTTCAGCCAACTCACCGGTCCCCAGTATAAGCTGTCTCACATTGAACTCCACGGCAACAAGCTGCGATCCCTGACACATGTAACACAGGCTCTGATTGGCTGCTTCAATCTCCGACACCTGGTGCTGTATCAGGATGGGTCAGGCAATCCAGTGTGTCATCAACCAGGTGAGGATGTGGTCATGCTATAAATGTCATGGAGCTCTCTTTATGGTTAAATGTAAAATGTTTGTTTGTTACAAAAATTTGTTTCATTGTTGACTCTTTAAATTTTATTGAAATGTTTACCAATCCTGACTCAAATCTGAAAGTTAAGTGTAAAAAGATAATTTGGCAAAATGCCAACCTTCATATCAATTTAAATTCAAAACTTCAATATTAATTTCCTGAGCTATAGGGAGACCAGATGTGAAGTCATGTGATATACAATGTGTCACTATTTCATGAAATGAGGATGTTGTTGGGTCTTCATGGTCACAAACAATACATTGGATTTGGCAAGACACTTATCAGTTGGACATTTCTGTGATTTTAGAAAATTTTGATAGAACATACTTCCATATCATTAAAATATAAAAATACCTCAGGACATTTTGGATAACAGTCAGTCAATGTCCAAGCCAATGAACTGATATGAAACAGTTCAATACACAGTATGTTCTGTTCAATGATAACCACGTTTTTCAAAATTGTAGGCAATATGAAAATAATGTGGCCAAAAATATGCTTTTGCATTTGATCTCTTCTAAATGAGATTGATAGAATGAAATAAAGCATGTACCGTATTCGACGTAATAAGCGCCCCGCTCTAATAAGCGCCCACGGCGATATTTGCTAATATATTGGCAAGTGAACAATCCCAATTAGCACCGCTTCCGATTGATCAATGTACCCAAGACTTATTTATTCGTGTATAATACGCACTCGTGTGTTACATGCACCCTTAATTGTGGGCAATTAAATTCTGGAAAAATATATCTGTCGTATATAAACAATTCAGGCCGTCAGCAAAAACCATGAAATTTAGCTTTCAACTCTGTTTTTTCCACCAAAATAATAGTCTGATAAGAGCCCCCTATATCTAATTTTGAGAGCGCCCTGGGCGCTTATTACGTCAAATACGGTATATTGAAAGAACCATGCTGCTGGGATAGTTCTTTGAAACTGTCAAAGAGTTACTTCCCATGCAATACAAATCTACTTTGGATTTTATTGTTCTGAAATGTGTTGCATTGTTGTCAAGAAGAATAAGATGAGTATTTTTATTGTAGATGCCTTTTGTGGTCTAGTTTGCACTTGACATTCATACAGATATTGCTAAAATAGTGTTCGAAACGGCATAGAAACCAAACACTCTCATATTGGTGTGGATATTTTATTCATCCTGTCTTTTCTGAGTGCAATGCCATCTACACCAACAATGGAGTATCTGCGAAGGGATATTTTTGTTTTGTGTAGGTTTTCTTTTGTAAAAATTTAGATTTCTGAATTGTTTTACGTAAATGACATCTGATTGGTTCAAGGACGTAGCCATGCATCATTTAGTTTTGCCAGTCAAGGTTTGATCAAGGTTCACCTGATGAGACCTTATACAGAGTTAGTTTGGGGGCCAGAGAAGTGTCATATCAGAGTAAAACATCTGATTTTCAGGGGTAGATTTAACAACAAATTCATCTGTAGCCAGCTGGGCTTACTCCTTTTAAAAGTTACAGGCCCTTTTCCAAACTAACTGGCCCTTCTCCAGACTATCTGTCCCTTCTCCAAATTCACTGGCCCAAAATATAATGTTGGAGGCCACGACTGAGTTACCCAGGGAAGTCCAAACATTTTAGAACTCCACACCCCTAAAACGTCATTTTCTGCACTCTGAGTTTAAATCTTGGCTTCCTCATTTCGTGGCGATTTTATGAGCAATAAAAGATGTTGTTATTGTGCAGAACATTACAAAATGGCCGCCGGTTGTGTCATTCCACCAAGATGATCTTTGAGCCAACCATTCACAAGTCCTCATCCCCCCTAAATATGTTTTCATTGAAATTACCTGATTCACAAGCAGCGTCCAATTAAAAATTTAAACATACACAGAGAAGGGGGGAAATTTTGACTCGACAGGCGATCCACTTTCTGTTTCAGCAAGCCTTTGGTAAGTTTAAGTGGCCACAGGCCAGCAGTTAAATTGACCCCTGATTTTAATTAACGAGTGTGTAACTAACCCATGTGATTCAGGGTAAGACGAGGTCCACTGACTAATACATGTTTTGCATTGTCAGCCTCTTTGACTTGGGTCATTGTGTGGCATCATTGATTTCATTGATGAAACCCTTGATGACAAATTAAAAATGTAACTGTGACTTAGATTGAAACAATTTGTAAATGTTTATGATGATAAATAATTATTGGTTTGTATTTTGTGAACAGGATACCCGTCAGAGGTGTTCAGTGCACTCCCTCAGGTGAAATGTCTGGATGGCAAGGACAGAGTGGGACGTCCAGCAGACATGACTGAGGTTCTCAACGACATCCCTGGTAACTTTCATGCTAAACTATCACATATCCCACATTAGCCAAGACGGAACCAGTCTCTAGTCTATTTTTGTGTTTCCATGGACTGGAAGTTACTTGTTTTTGATGCTCTACCTCATACTGGACCTCATCCTGTACCTCATACCGTACCTCATACTGGACCTCATACTGTACCTCATACTGGACCTCATCCTGTACCTCATACCGTACCTCATACTGGACCTCATACTGTACCTCATACTGTACCTCATACTGGACCTCATCCTGTACCTCATACTGTACCTCATACTGGACCTCATCCTGTACCTCATACCGTACCTCATACTGTACCTCATACCGTACCTCATACTGGACCTCATACTGTACCTCATACCGTACCTCATACTGGACCTCATACTGTACCTCATCCTGTACCTCATACTGGACCTCATCCTGTACCTCATACCGTACCTCATACTGGACCTCATACCGTACCTCATACTGGACCTCATACTGTACCTCATACCGTACCTCATACTGGACCTCATACTGTACATCATACCGTACCTCATACCGTACCTCATCCTGTACCTCATACCGTACCTCATACTGGACCTCATACTGTACCTCATACTGGACCTCATACTGTACCTCATACTGTACCTCATACCTAACCTCATCCTGTACCTCATACTTTACCTCATACTGGACCTCATCCTGTACCTCATACCGTACCTCATACCGTACCTCATACCGTACCTCATACCGTACCTCATACTGTACCTCATACCGTACCTCGTATCGGACCTTATACTGGACCTCATACTGTACCTCATCCTGTACCTCATCCTGTACCACATGCTGTACCTTATACTGTACCTCATACTGTACCTCATCCTGTACCTCATACCGTACCTCATACCGTACCTCATACCGTACCTCATGCCGTACCTCATGCTGTACCTCATACCGTACTTCATACCGTACCTCGTATCGTACCTCATACCGTACCTCATACCGTACCTCATCAGTACCTCATACCGTACCTCGTATCGTACCTCATACCGTACCTCATAACTACCTCATACCGTACCTCGTATCGTACCTCATACCATACCTCATACCGTACCTCATACCGTACCTCATACCGTACCTCATACCGTACCTCGTATCGTACCTCATACCGTACCTCATACCGTACCTCATACTGTACCTCATACTGTACCTCATACTGTACCTCATACTGTACCTCATACTCTACTCAATGGTTTCAGGCTTAGAAGACTACATGGAGTATCTGATTTCTTCAAGTAGCTCTGTAAGTATCTTCTGTCCCTGAATATATAAACTGATAACCAAAGCTTAAGCAAAGCAAGGGGGCATGGGTGCCCCAGTCGCCTAAGGTGCCGAAATCTGCTGTGCAGAGTTGCATGTGTTTGTTATTTTTTATTTTTTTGAAGATTGTTCCTCTGTCATTACCAATTTTTAAAAGAACCGATCAGACATAATATTTCTGTAATACCTCTGTGGAATGACAATGCTCAAATATTTATTATTCTCCTGTCTTCAAGGAATTACAATGCTCAAATATTTATTATTCTCCTGTCTTCCAGGAATCAAAATTCTCACATATTTATTATTCTCCTGTCTTCCAGGAATCACTATTCTCACATGTTTGTTATTCTCCTCTGTTCCATGATTTCACTTCTTTCACATAGAACTGTTAATGTTATACCCTTGTGTTTTAGGATCCACAACTAGCTGATGTTATCACACCTAAAATTGACCAGGCACTCACAGCATTCAGACAGCGCCACCTGGTGTCGGGAGAGATTAGCACAACTGTCTCATCAACTGACATAGAACAGAGCCCTGTAGGTGTCAAGGTTTGTGGCAATCTTTAAATTAAATAATTGGCATTGTCTTGGCAGATGATGTAGAGCTGTTTTTGAGCCATGTGGTAAAGTTATTGGGTAATGCTTAAAGGGAAAATACTCTTGAGAGCTTGGGACAAGTGTGTTTTGGTTTGGTCCGTTGTAAAGTAGCGCTGAGATCTTTTTGTGGAATTGTCTCATTTTATGAAAGCACCAGGTGGTATGTAACTTTTTGCAACAAAACTTTTGCAACTCACACTGTGTGGTCCCTGTTCATTGTAACACTAGATGGTATGTGTCATTATGCAAGATATATATGCAATAGGTGGTATGTGCCCTTGTTCAGTGTAACACCAGGTTGTATGTATCCTTGTTCAGTGTAACACCAGATGATACGTGCCCTTGTTCAGTGTAACACCAGGTGGTATGTGTCCTTGTTCAGTGTAACACCAGGTTGTATATGTCCTTGTTCAGTGTAACAGCAGGTAGCATGTGTCCTTGTTCAGTGTTACACCAGGTTGTATATGTGACCTTGTTCAGTGTAACACCAGGTTGTATATGTCCTTGTTCAGTGTAACACATGGTGATATGTGACCTTGTTCAGTGTAACACCAAGTTGTATGTGTCCTTGTTCAGTGTAACACCAGGTGATACGTGCCCTTGTTCAGTGTACACCAGGTGATATGTGACCTTGTTCAGTGTAACACCAGGTTGTATGTGCCCTTGTTCAGTGTAACACCAGGTGATATGTGCCCTTGTTCAGTGTAACACCAGGTTGTATGTGTCCTTGTTCAGTGTAACACCAGGTGATACGTGCCCTTGTTCAGTGTAACACCAGGTGATATGTGCCCTTGTTCAGTGTAACACCAGGTGATATGTGACCTTGTTCAGTGTAACACCAGGTTGTATGTGCCCTTGTTCAGTGTAACACCAGGTGATATGTGCCCTTGTTCAGTGTAACACCAGGTTGTATGTGTCCTTGTTCAGTGTAACACCAGGTGATACGTGCCCTTGTTCAGTGTAACACCAGGTGATATGTGCCCTTGTTCAGTGTAACACCAGGTGATACGTGCCCTTGTTCAGTGTAACACCAGGTGGTATGTGCCCTTGTTCAGTGTAACACCAGGTAGTATGTGCCCTTGTTCAGTGTAACACCAGGTTGTATATGTCCTTGTTCGGTGTAACAGCAGGTAGCATGTGTCCTTGTTCAGTGTAACACATGGTGATACCTTATATGTGAGGTTGAGATGTATACTCCCCAGGGAGTTGAGAATGATGAGTGGAATGTGAACAGATCAACTGGTTTTGGAACAAATAAAACCCCATTTGAGCAGATACTAGTACCTGGAGACCTGCAGTATTTAAATGTATAATATGATAATAATGTGTTACCGTTCAATGTTACACCAGGTGGTATGTTCCCTTGTGCAAAATAAACATTCAAGGTGGCTTGTGGCCAAGTACAATATAACACCAGGCAGTTTGTGTCTTTTGTGCAATGACAGCAATACGATTGGATCTCGTTCTGTAGTCCTTGCAAAACCTGCCAAATATTTAAGGTATCATAAGGGCTCGTAGAAGTTTGCCAGATTTTGCAACATGTTATCATAATGAGGACTAGTGGACTTAAAGGGTTAGTTTCACCAAATTAAGCCATGCAAATAACAAGGATATAACTTTCATTCTGCTCACTCACTACTCTATAGGGTATATTCAATTACTTACCCATGAATATTGCTGAGTGCGGCGTTAAACAACAAACCAACCAACCAACTTACCGATGAAGATCTGGGTTAAAACTGGTCTTCAGCAACCCATGCTTGTGAACAGAGATGACTAACAGGACTTTCTGACTTGGTTGATGCATGTCCTCATATCCAAATTGCGTAGATTGATGCTCATGATGTCAATCACTGGACAGTGGATTGTAAATAATCGAACCTCGACCACAAGGTCCAGATTCGATTTTTTACCAACCACCGTCATGAGGTGAAATGTTGCTTTGTGAGGCATGAAACAACAAACAAACAAACCAAACACACAACAGTTGCCCTTGAATTGTTTGATAAATGCTTGATTGTTACAGTTTCTGCTGTTAATACCATTTGAGAACAAGATTCACCACCTGTGATAATCCAGGGTAGAATAGGTCTTCAGCAATCCATGCTTGTCGTAAGAGACGTAAAGGGATCGGGTGGTCTGGATTACTGACTTGGTTGATGCATGTCATCATATCCCAATTGCATGGTTCGATGCTCATGATGTCAATCACTGGATTGTCTAGTCCAGACTCGATTATTTACAGACCGCTGTCATATAGCTGGAATATTGAGGCATTAAACAACAAACAAACAGAAAACAAGATTCACATTCTGTGATCATGCAGTTCTAGTGATGCGGATGCCCTTGTGTGTTGTACAGGAAGGTACCTGGGACCAGGAGTCTCGGCTCCAGCAGCTCGAGGGACAACTTGCTCAGCTCCTCCACAAACAACAGGTGAGGAACACTTCATGTGTTGTTTGTTGTTCCATGTTCAGGGATTTATCTAGGGTCCAAACTATGTGCCCCTGGCAGGCCTATTGAGAAAAAATTAGTATTTTCTTTGGATACATGTATTATCCATACATGTATTATGAATATATGGTTAGGAAATTTTGTTGGGAAACAGATTACAAACATAAGTCTATATATATTTATGAACACTTTTTATAACCAGATAGTTTGATAACAGGATTAAATGGGTTAATTCAGTTTTTTTTAATGGAAAAAAGTAAGCACTATACTCTAGAAAATATGGTATGTGTTATCAAAGTGAGCGTGTTTTTTAATTTTTTAAATTTTATTCATACATGCACACCAACAGTATCTGTCAAATATGAGGTGGGCGTGACCAAAATATAAATGCCAATTGGCCAAAAAAATATTCTGCATCCCTGGTTTAGTGTTGTATTTTAAAACTGCATTCAAGGCATTAATGTAAAACCAAGCATTAATACCTCTTCCTCTTTATTGTCCTATCATCGGTGAATATCAAGTCACCTCCACAAAGTCAGAAATTTACATGTAACTGTAATCATGATAATAGCATGAATTGGGAAATATTTGATTCCAATCTGGGAATTTTTGCAGACAATTGCTGCACATATGAGGCCACATATCGGTCTCTGAGCAGGTCCTTTTAAATCCCTGATGTGTCTGAAGTTTGTTTTATTCATGAGTCTTGCTTCTTTTAAACCATAGGTTATCTGTACATAGATTGTACGAGGGAGTGGGTCTGAACATGGATCATCATGGATGTTCTGAACATGGAAATCATAATTTTTATCAATTGCTGTTCTTAAACACTTCTGCCTTGTGGGGAATCCATTCAGAATTCAGGATGTTAATATAGTCATGTTCAGTTAATCCGACATCGTTGGATATACGAAATTAAGTAGTATCAACGTTCATAATGGAAAATCGGACAACCACACGATAGATAATGACACATTTAGGTTGTAATAAAAAAATTAAAAAGGAAATATTCATACTGTTATGTTATAGTGTTAGTGGAATGTGTTTTCTAATCATTGAACAACCTTGAACAACTTAACACAGGGCATTCCAAACTACTGTTATGGGCCGTTTGACTGATTCAAAATACTTTTGAAAGCATAGTCTGGAATGGAAGTGACCAGTTTAAAACTAGTGCCGCAAAGCTCAAGAAGTCTGCTTTAATATTGGCTAATGTCGACTTCCAGTTAGCCTTTTGATTTTTCGGTTCATTTTGGAAAGGTCATTCTGAATTGACCTGTCACTGGATGTCCTCACCCGAAGCAAGAACTTAGGTCGGATTTTTATGAGATTGAGGTAATCTAGATTAGTGATTAATCCTGTTTTGCTTATTTAAGTGATTATTTCTATTTTGTTTAGCAAGTTTCGCTTCAGCCATTGTAATATGCAGGTACTAGTTGCCTCTTTTCGCATCAAAACAGAGGGGTGTGTACTTGCGGGGAGATGACAATGGAGTACGCTGATCACTGTCGGTTTAACAAGACTCTTAATGAATGATTTCAGCAATTCCCCATCATCAGTGATGGATAAAGCCGATAGTCGGATTAACGAGTGTCAGATTAACGAGACTTGACTGTATATGCTGCTTAAAAGAGGTTAAAGTATTTCGATTCTCAAAGAAAAGGAGGAGGAAAACTTTCCAAGTACAACTGCTTATTATCTAGCTCATGGTTAAATGACAATTTTCCAAGTTTGAAGATGATCAATAAAGTAGTCTTCTTGTCAGCACACTTAAGTTCCAAAAATTATTAAATGTCAACGCCAGAGAACAAGCAGACTTGATCATCTGCCAAAACAAACACCAATGGGTATTAAAGGCAAAACAGTGATGAAAATGTTTGAACAAATCAAAGACACCTAAACCTTTTTGTGAGTTCCATGTGGTTCACCATGTAGATAAAAAGTATATTAATGAATCACTCTGTGTTATAATCATAACCACAAGGTATGTTTGTCACAGAAAAGTAACTTTAGGTATGCCTTTATGTTACCATGGAACTTATTTGAAACATGCATTACAATTTTAGAGTTCAAGATATGATGAACCCGAGTCCTCAGTGCCTCATGCGGTTTGTGAGATCCAACTGGGGGTTGGGTGGTTAGGTTATGTACCCTGATGGATAGGGGCATTGATCATGGTGTCAACCCAGCGTCATCTATTTGCATTGGCAAATGGATTTGTTGCATAATACTTGTGATTAACTGCAACCTACTGTGTTTTTAATGACCTGAAATTACCAGTATTATGCCTAGTATTATCAAGTATTTGTGGGAATCTCATTTTTTCTGTCCCCCACAATTCAACTGTACCATTTGCTTGTTCACTCACTCACTCACTCACTCACTCACTCACTCACTCACTCACTCACTCACTCACTCACTCACTCACTCACTCACTCACTCACTCACTCACTCACTCACTCACTCACTGATAGACGTATTGGTCATCAGGTATTTCACATGTCATCAACAGTATTAATACAACAGAGTCAGTATTTACCACAAAACTCTAGATTGTGCTTGCTATAATATCCTGACATAAATACAATTGCCTGGCTGTCTACTATGTTTTCAGCACAGAGCGCAACAGACGTATCAATGGTGTATTTGGTATCTATAAACAGCTTGTATTATATACTTGAAATGTGTGCACCCTTATCGATATAGCTCAGGCGTGACATCATCTCATTACCATAATCTCAAACGTCTTATTGAATCATGATAATAACTTGATATATTTCCTTATTATATCGGAACAGATTGATGCTATTTGATCTTTTTCACTTCAAGCTAAATATTAATTAATGTAATTCTAAGATGTGATGCCAGACTCATGTGTAGCTGTCTATTTTCATCCCGGAGATGATACGACGTCAAGCTTTGAAGTACACCTACATGATCGGTGTGACGTATGAATCCTCACAGATTCTATTGAGTGTAAATAGACGTTACCTGATCAAATGGTTTTGCTGGTGTATCGGGTGCTTGATGCAGGTATTGGTCTGTTTGGCTGTCATGTCTGATGACATGTGTCTGGGGGAGGTGGGCACGGAAAGAGCTGTTAATATCAGTTGACAAATTGGTGATTGAGGCCCCAGGTCTGATGCAATTGTCAATAATAATTCCCAAATTGGTATGAAATCTTGCAAAGCCACGTCATTCTGATCAATGTTATGACTTTTGTAGAGGTGAATTGCAGTTCACTGACAACAGAACCAAGACATCAGAAGAGGTTTTAATGATTGGGTTGGTTAGGGAAGGTGAGGGGAAGGAATGTTTTAATGTTAAGTTTTACATTTTTGCATTGGATATATTATTAAAATACACCTGAATTTTAGAAAATAAGAAAGTCTCAATTTTTAAGAAGATTGTTTTTTTCCTGTTTTATCTGCCAAGGGTGCAAAGTGAGGAACCTAGATAAATCCTGATGTGTAATGATGCATGTGGAGAGTGGAAGGGATGGATTTGGTAATGATAGAGTTGGTTAGGGAAGGGAAAAGAATGGATAGTTATATGGTTGTATGGGGAAGGGGAAGGATGTACTGGGTAATGATAGGGTTGGTTAAGGGAAGGAGTGGGGAAGGAATGGATTGGGTAATGGTGGATAGAGTTGGTGGGGGAAGGTGAGGTGAAGGGATGGATTGGGTAATGGTGGATAGAGTTGGTGGGGGAAGGTGAGGTGAAGGGATGAATTGGGTAATGATAGGGTTGGTTAGGTAAGGTGAGGTGAAGGGATGGATTAGGTAATGATAGGGTTGGTTAGGGAAGGTGAGGTGAAGGGACGGATTGGGTAATGGTGGATAGAGTTGGTGGGGGAAGGTGAGGTGAAGGGACGGATTGGGTAATGATAGGGTTGGTTAGGGAAGGTGAGGTGAAGGGACGGATTGGGTAATGATAGGTTTGGTTAGGGGAGGTGAGGTGAAGGGAGGGATTGGGTCATGATAGGGTTGGTTAGGGAAGGTGAGGTGAAGGGATGGATTGGGTAATGGTGGATAGAGTTGGTGGGGGAAGGTGAGGTGAAGGGACGGATTGGGTAATGATAGGGTTGGTTAGGGGAGGTGAGGTGAAGGGAGGGATTGGGTCATGATAGGGTTGGTTAGGGAAGGTGAGGTGAAGGGATGGATTGGGTAATGGTGGATAGAGTTGGTGGGGGAAGGTGAGGTGAAGGGATGGATTGGGTAATGGTGGATAGAGTTAGTGGGGGAAGGTGAGGTGAAGGGAGGGATTGGGTAATGGTGGATAGAGTTGGTGGGGGAAGGTGAGGTGAAGGGATGAATTGGGTTAATGATAGGGTTGGTTAGGTAAGTTGAGGTGAAGGGACGGATTGGGTAATGATAGGGTTGGTTAGGGAAGGTGAGGTGAAGGGATGGATTGGGTAATGATAGGGTTGGTTAGTTTGCTAATTGTGGAACCTAGATAAATCCTGATGTGTAATGATGCATGTGGGGAGGGGAAGGGTGGCATGGTCAGTATGCTTATTTGCACTCCACTGTCTGTGGATCAAACGCAGTATTCATTTGTATCCAGTGCTCTTGTAGAAATACAGTATTGGGTTGTTTGGGATTGGATAGGGATGGTTGGATCGGGTAGGCATAGTATGGGTGTGGTAACAATAGGGTTGGTTAAGGAAGGTGAGGAAAAAATAGAGGGTAATGATAGGGTTGGATGGGGAAGAGGACATGAAGGGATGGATTCGGTAACAAATAGTTGCAATGGTTAGGGAAGGAGTGTGATGAGAATAGGTTTGGTTAGGGAAGGTGAAGTGAAGGGACGGATTGGGTAATGATAGCGTTGGTTGGGGCAGGTGAGGTGAAGGGATGGATTGGGTAATGATAGATAGGGTTGGTTAGGGAAGGTGAGGTGAAGGGATGGATTGGGTAAAGATAAGGTTGTTTTTGGAAGGTGAGGTGAAGGGATGGATTGGGTAATGGTGGATAGAGTTG